AAGCACTTGGTGTGGGTTGGACTGCAGGGCTAGCCTCCAGGCCTCAGTGGGTTAGTCCATGCTGTTTAGGGGCCCCTGGGAGGCAGGACACTGGGCACCAGCCTGGGCGGGCGCCTCAGCCTGGGCGGAGCCCGTTGTGTGCAGGGTCACAGATCTCAGCCACACTCGTATCTCACCTTGGTGGTATCATAGGGTCTCACCAATCGCTGTGCATGTATGCCCCCACCCCAGAGTCAGCTCTGGGCCTCCACACTCTCCAGACTGACAGGCTTGCTTTCTCAAAGTGCCTGGAGGTGTCTGTGGAGCTCCCCCAGGAAAGCTTCATGGGTCCTGGGCATAGGGCAAGTAGGGGGCGATTCCTGGTCTGGCCTTCCCTTCATATGTCCACTTTGTTCGCAGGAGGATGGTAGCAGCTCGAAGGAGGGAACCTCCGTCTGAGTCTCCTCGGCAAACTGTTCAACTTACCAAAATGCCTTACACATTCCTTACAAATAAACCAACCAACACCGAGTTATCCAGGCCCATCTTCCAGTGAAGCCATTGGAGACAAGTCTCAGAACCACAGAATTAAATCTTCCAGATCCCCAGTCTGTAAAAGAACTTTTGTCACATTTGATAAACACTATTCCCGGGAGCAGCCCTGGACCACCTCGAGCAGACGCCAAAGCCCTCATCAACACTGACAGACCAGAGTGTGCTGGGAGTCCAGGCCGCTTGGGATTATGTCAATCAGTGCAATTGTCTGTATTTCTCAGTGGGGCCGGGTCGGGAAGCAACAGGCCAGGTGGTGAGTTCTTGGAGGCTGCTGAGCAGACTGGAGGGCCCAGCCCAGCCCAGCAAGGCTGCAGCCCTCACCCCTGGAAGTTGCCAAGCAGAACTGACATGTGACTGCCTGGATGTCAATGCCATTAAAACCAACGTGTTGCCCGGCACTGGGGTCTTGTGTGGTGATCTGCTGGGCCTCCTCCATCTAGCTGCTGAGCCCAGGAGGAGGAGTTAAGAGTGGCTGTCCCGAGAGGTGCATTTCTCTGAAGGCTGGGACCCTGACCAGATAGCATGGGAATGGAGGCCACTGCTTCCTGTCTGTCCCACCCCCTCCACTCACTTCCTAAGTTCCAGTGCTCCTGGAGCAGGGCAGTGAGCTGAGACCCACCAGTGACCTGGATAAACAGCTATGCCTTGGGGTTGTTGTCAGGTGCTGCCACCAACTGCCCTCAGGCAGTAGCCACTCTAGACTTCCTGTGACTCAGAGCTGGCAGCGATTAACCTGATCTAGGGCAACCTCTCCCAAGTGCGGTGTATGGGCTTGTATTGATAGGGGGAACCTGGAGTGTATGACCAGTGTCACAACAGGCTGAACCATCAGGAAGGGAAAGTGGCGCCATCCAGTCCTGTCAAGCTCTTAACCAAGCAGCAGTTCCCATCCCCTAACATACCACCCTCTAAATCCTGAGAGATTTGACTGGCTGAACGTGGCTGGGGGACAGCTGCCCCTTGGAATGCCAAGTATTACGGGGTAAGGGTGACTGAAGGGTACAAAATTCCCACACTGCTCTCTGGTTTGTATCACATGGTTCCGAGGTGGTAGGTGACCCTCATGCTAGCTGTCACATGAATCTTGGGAGATATCTCTATGCTTATCTGTGTCCTTCAGCCTCTTCCTCACATCACAGAACATCTCAGGTTTTGACACTATACCAAGTACTCTGGCCCAGCTTAGGAAGCACCTGTGAGGCACCAAGGCTTATGATGCTGCCTTCCGTGTTAATGAGCAAGATGCTGGGGGGGGGGGGTGCCCTGGAGACAGCATGTAGCTGTAGGTGATGGAAGGTGGGGAGAGAGTAAGGCTGGGATGGTATTAAGGTCATGTGATTGGGCAGTATAGGAACAAATATACCTATTTTACCTGTTACAGAGCCTTCAAGAGGCCACGGAGGAGGGTGGCTTCTGAAACTAGACTTTGGCCTTGTGTTTTCCCACCGGGAGACTGAGTAGGAGGAAGAAACAAAAGCATAAGGAACTCCATCTAAGTCAGTGGTTCTCAACCTTCCTAAGGCTGCAGCCCTTTAATACAGTTCATATTGTGGTGACCCCCAGCCATAAAGTTATTTTTGTTGTGATTTCATAACTAATTTTGCTGCTTTTATGAATCATAATGGAAATGTTTTCTAATGGTCTTAGGCAACTCCTGTGAAAGGGTCCTTGGACCCCTAAAGGGATGGCAACCCACAGGTTGAGAATTGCTGCTTTAGGTAGTCTATGAGGTGAACTGAACCTTATGGGAATAAACATGAAGCCCAGATGGGTTAGTAATGGGGGAAAGACTTGGAAGTAACAGCCCACATACTTAGGGGAGATGCTCTGTGATGCACAGGAGTGGGAGACTACACTACACTTTTTGTTTTGGTTTGGTTCTGAAGACGGGACAAGAGTTCTGGAACTCTTTTGTAGACCAGGCTGTTGTTCTTGAGCTCAACAGAGATCTGCCTGCCTCTGCCTCCTGAGAGCTGGGATTAAAGGCGTGTGCCCAGCTACACTCATTTTGAGGAAAGAGGAACTGAGAAAAGGTGGCAGATACTGGAGTTACCAAGCTATAGATATGCTTAGCACTCTCCTCTACTCGGGCCGCAAGTAGGAGCCATGTCTCTTTGGGGAAGGGGGTTAGATAAGACAGCCACAGTGTAGGGAGAGGCCTGTAGGGGGCTGGCCTGGGCACCGCCTGGATGCAACAGCATCTCTGGTTCAAAGGGCCCATCACACCAGCAGAGGGAGCCTGAGTTTGCCAGGCAGTAAACAACAGTGCTGGATTTTGCCTCAGACCTGACCACCCAGCTGTTGTAAAGGTTCTATCCTCGGGACTCTGAAGCCAAGGAAAGCAACTCGGAGCAGTGGCCTTTTGCAGAGTGTGAAAGAGGTTAGCAGGTAATGCCATCTCCCACTTTGTTCAACATGGTGAACAAACACCACAGGGGTCTGGCCAGTCAACTCCCTGCTCACCAAGACTTAAATGCTCATGCAGTCCAGGTTTCCAGTCCCTTGGCAGAGGACGTGGAAATAACAGGCGTCCTCTCTGCCAACAGTGCTCTCCTGGGGTGCCACACTTCCTCGAGCATCTGAGCTGCCTAAAATGCCTCCCTTTAGAAAGAAGGTCCCACCTGCCACCAGAGATGTCCTTGATGGCCAGTGTCCTGTGGCATACAGCACTAGCAGAGCTGGAAGCTCTATTGCACAGACCACTGCTGTGACAAGTACGTTGCCCTGGTCGTCTTTCATGAACCCCCAGTAAAAGTGTGGCCCACAGGCAGGATACAGGCCCATAGGCAGCTACATAGAGCCTGGACAAGGAAGCAGTATAGTACAGACAGGACTAACAGGCCACCTTAGCAAGGCTTCGGAGGGCAGGAGGCAAAGACACAAATGCCTTCTCACTGAACTCCATTCAGGTTTGGGTCTAATGTGTTCCAAGGCCAAAAGGGGGATGTTTTCTCTCACTCCTCATATCCCAGATCTACTAAACAGAACACACCATTTAAATTCCAAGGGTTAAAACAGAACTGGACTCACCACAGTAGCAGGGATAGCAGAGCTAGAATCGTGGCATCTGGGCTTGTTAAAGTCAAATTGCCCAGTTAGGTGAACCTGGCCAGAGGCTTCCCAGTTGCCCTGGGCGGCTGAACAGATGCCCCACTCTGTGGCTCAAGCCTCCCCAGGAACCCTGGTTCCCTGACCATTCTGTCATGCACTGCGTGTTCCTTCTTCCAGTGGCAGTCTGAAACTTACTACTTCAAAATGGCTCCAAATCCTTGGGCAGGTTCATTCTCCAGTAGACTACAGGAATGAAGCTGCCAATGACCTAGGCAGCTCTGTAGTAAGACCATAACTCAACTGTCCAAGTCACAGCTGCTTTCCCAGACTAATACTCCCAGAAGTAACAAACTTCATAGCTAGCTCCTGATGGAACTGTCAGCACTGGCCTCATGAACATCCTTCTTTCTCAGGGACCAAGGAGACCCACTAGATGAACCCTAAGCTGGCTTTCTACAGAAATTTTCTATGTTAACCCTTGATTGGAAGTGCCTTCTAGAAATAGCATTTCCTTGGTAGTTTTGTCCTTGACTAATGTCAACAAACATGTAACCTTAACTGCAGCAGAAATGAAATGAAATACTTGTTAACACAATGTCCCCTGAAGCTTCCCAAAAGCTACATATAGGAGACAAAGAGGTTCCAGGAATCATTAACACCTATCCCATTTCTGGAGACATTCATTTACAGACCCCTAAAACCCTTCCTGTGGCTTCCCTGAACTACACACCTGTGTGCCTGACCTTCTGAAGCCACAGAGCTGTGATGGCAGCAGCAGAGTATCACTTCACAAGAAGAAACAGTTCTAAAAAGCCCTGGATAGTACCTGGACCTCCCACGCGGTTCTTAACCTCATAGGCTCTGGGGCACACTACAATGGCTACTAAAAGCGGTTTTGCATAGTGTTTCAGGATGAAGAATGATAAGCAGCCAACTTTTAGAGGCAGTCTGATGAAAATACAATTACCATTTGGCTTGCAAAATCCTTCACAGAGACATTTGGATTAGGAAGAGGATGTCAAACTCTTACAATAACATTCTCATTTAAGCAGGAGTGACCTGTGATCCTAGTCATCCTTCTCAGAGAATTCAACAGCATAGGGAAAGTATACTGGCTTGTTTTGTGTCAACTTGACACAACCTAGGGTTATCTAAGAGGGAACCTCAACTGAGCAAACGCCTCCATTAGACTGCCCTGTAGGCAAGACTTTGGGGCATCTTCTAGTTGAAGATTGATACAGGAGGGCCCAGCTCACACCCTGCGCAAGCCAGTAAGCGCATTCTTCCATGTATGAGGTTGTGCTCTGACCCCCTCAATGATGGACTCTGGTAGTTGTAAGATGAAATAAACCCTTTCCTCCTCAACTTGCTTTTGGACATAATCACAGAAAAAAAAGCAAATAATCACACAAAGATTAAGTTACAAATGCTTCCTTTATTACATAAAGCCAGCATTGCTACTTCTAAATTCAGCTGTTTGTGCATCTCTACATGGTCAGTGTCATGCCTGTGATGTTAACAATCACACCCAAGTGTTGTTCGGTGGTCCCCTGTGAGTGTCACGGTGGTACCTGCTTCCCATTTCACACACAGCTGGTAAACTGCTCTAGGGGTTTGCATCCAACCAGGCCCCAGAGAAAATATACTCAACACTCTTCCACATCCTACTGGACCAGATGCAGCAGGGTTCTGAAGGAGAAATTAAAGATTGACAGCACCCTGGCTTATTAATATACTGCTTTATCATTTTTCATTAATAAAGTAGATTACAACAAAGCCCTAATTTGCAATATAATTAGTTGTTACAAGACACTGAACATTCTCCTGAGGATATACCATGATTTCTAAGTCACAAAGTCACCGCAAGCAGTTTCCCAGCCCAGGGAGCCTCTCACTGCAGGGACAGACGAGCTGCTGGCTACCTCCAGCACTGTGCTCTGGATGGTGCTCGGCAGGAACAGTGTGAAGTTTAAGCAGACACAATTGTGAAGCAGTCTCATGACACATCCAATAGAATGAAGACTGCCTGGCTTAGTCTTGCTGCTGTTAGTGTAAGTTAGTGTTGTACACATTATAAAGAAAATTCTAGCTCTTATTCTGTTTAAGTCAAGGAAAAATAGAGAATTTGGATGAAAATTATACATAGATTACAATCAGTTTTCTAAGCAAGAGAAACAAAAGTAACTGCTGAGGTCAGCGAAGATTATAGAGTTCGCTTCACATTGCCTTGTATTGTTTTGTGAACTGTGTTATTAAAAATCCTGAGCTTAACAAAATCTTTACACGTCACCTCATGAAAATAGGCATTTGGCCAATAAGAATTTAATTTCACACCAATGAAACTTTAGAGGCTAGATTTATGTAGGGTGGTGGTGTTTGCACACATCTACAGAATTTTAGTTCAATTTACTTTAAAAGATGACAAGACAAATTCCCCTCAGTGAGATCTGGCCTAATATGTTTGCTTTACGGACATAGTGAAAGGATAGTGTTAAACATGGAAGCTTCAATTCGTGGCACTGGCTGATGATCTACACAGGGGATCCTTCAAAAGCTACGATTAGGGAGCCACCTAGCTTTTCAGCAATACTATTCCGATTGAGGTCTTCTGGTCCATTTGCTTGATACTCATGCTTTATGCCTAGAGAGAAAAACAAATTCTATTTAGAAATATGCAAATAAAGACCCTTGTATATTATGGACCACAGAATGCTATATCCAATTGAGGGAAGAAATAATGTATAAGCATATGAATCAAAATGATGGCACCTCACAAACATAATGCTGACTGGAAGCAGCCAGAAAAACAAGTGGACATCCTGGTATGATTCCATTTATTTAACTCTAAATCAGCCCCAGCTAATATATGCAGTTACATGCCAGGGTATCAGTTATCACTGGGGTTCAGGAAAAGGTAGGGGAATGGTACAAATGAAAGTAAGCATCAAGAAAGGTTTAATAGGGCTGGTAATTAGATAAAAACCAATCATGTTCAGTCTGTGAAATTTAGAGTTCCATAATACTTTACTAAAGATGCTGTACTTAATAAAAAGGTAGGTCTAGTAATTTTTTCCTGGTATTTAAAACAAATGGAAATATGGGAGCTAGAGATATGGCTCAATGGTAAGAATGCTTCTTGCTCTTGCAGAGGACCATAGACCATGCACAGCACTAGTGTGTTTTACAACCAACCATTTGTGACCCCAGATCCATGGGATCTGGTGCCCTCTTCTGGACTCTGAGAGCACATGCACTTACATGTGCATGAACCCACATACTGATGCTCACATATGCACATAATTAAAAATAAAGTAGAAGCTGGGTGTGGTGACACATGCCCATAATCCCAGCACTTGGGAGGCAGAGACAGGTGAATCCCTGAGTTAGAGGTCAGCCTGGTCTACAGACTGATTTCCAGGACAGCTAAGAATATACAGAGAAGCTGGGCGTTGGTGGCACAGGCCTTTAATCCCAGCACTTAGGAGGCAGAGGCAGGAGGCTCTCTGTGAGTTTGAGGCCAGCCTGGTCTACAGAGCGAGTTCCAGGACAGTCTCCAAAACAATACAGAGAAACCCTGCCTGAAAAAAAACCAAAAGAACATACAGAGAAACATGGCCTTGAAAAACTAAAATAAGTAAAAAATAAAATGAATCTTAAAAAAAAAAAAACAAGCATGAACTAAAACACTGCTCCAGGAAACAGCTCTGTGGTGGCATTACACACCATGCTTAAGGCAGTGAACACTTAAGAAGTGGCACAGATGGGGTCTTAGGACAATTCCATCAGCACACTGGAGAGCTAGCTCACCTGTGGGCTTGCACACAGCAGTTTCTCTGCACAGAGCTGCTATGTTTTACACAGCTGCATAGTTAGTCTACAATTTGAAGATCATTTCTCAAACTCAAAGCACAACAGGTCAGTTTTTAGACAACTCTGAACAAATTTGGGAAAGCAATTGATGATTCCACTAAAAAAAGTTTCAAGGTATCTATCATTTAATATCCCTAAATCAGGTCTTATATAGCAATTCTCCTTAAAAGTATTTGAAGCTGAGAAGTCACTTGAAGCATCAGTTGAGAGATTAGTGAGCACACTATGGTGCCCCAACATCAATGCAAATGCATGCAGAACCCACTGACTTGAGCAGCAGTGGGGCTTGGGAAAGGAAGCAGCAATTCCTTCATTCATTAAAACAAGCGAGGACCAATCAGTTCTACTCCAATACAAAAGTCAGTCGCAGAAATCAAACCCTGTAACCTCGGCTCCCTCAGTTGCTCAGACACCACAGTGGAAGGGAGGTGAAGAACATTCAGATCAAGCCTCCTGCCCCAAGCTGAGAGAATTGAGGCCCATGAGGTTATTGGTTCTAGCCAAGGTCACACAGCCGTTAGACAGCAAGCTCAACCCTGTGCAAGCCTCTGGGCTTGTGCCTCATGCTCTTTCCACCATACCGATGACTTCTGGCTGGAGTCTGGCCAAGGCCACTTCCTCTAGACCCCAGTCACCCAGTGGCAAGTCAAATACAACTGGCCAGCTCAAGGTGGGTGTATTTTCCTTTGGACCCAGATGAATCATTTACCTAAAATCATATCATTGAACAGTAAAGCTAGAGATAAGAGAATGCTTCCCCACTTATTAAAAAAACAACAATTAAATACAAATAACATAAGCCATCAGATCCCCACCTGCTATGTGAGAACCTAGTTTAAAACCAGCTATACAGTGACGTACAACCAATGGGAAAGGAACAGGGTTCTGAACATAGGCCCACAGATGTAATGTGACAGAAATTACTCAGAGGGCATTTCTCCCTTCTTTGTTGCCAAAGCTTTCCAAAGAAAATAAGGGGTTTTAGTCCGGTGTTGGTGGTGCATGCCTTTAATCCCAGCACTCAGAAGGCAGAGGCTGGCCTCACAGAGGCCAGCCTGGTCTACAGAGCGAGTGCCAGGATAGGCTCCAAGGATACACAGAGAAACCCTGTCTTGTAAAACCAAAAAAAAAAAAAAAAAAAAAGAAAGAAAGAAAGAAAATAAGCAGTTTTTAGAGACATTCCAGTCCTGAGTCTGAGATACACTATACCCATAAACCTTCATATGTAAGTCTAGCACATACCTTGAAATTTCTTTTTGATGGCATCCTTCGAGCTTGCGTAGATCATTTTGCTTTTCAGAGACGCATGTTCTGGTGCCCTAGAGAGGAAGATGCCAGAATGAAAGGACTGCTTTAGAGAAAGTGTAGCCCCATCGTATTAAACATCTCCAGTGGAGATGAGACAGGTCTCAGAATCTATCAGTTTTCTATTTCCCACTTCTGAAGGCAAATGTTATTATGTACAATAACCACAGTGAAGAAAAAAGATACAAAAAAACCAAAAAAAAAGGCAAGTAAAGAAAACATTGCCTAACTTAAAAGCCTATTTAGTCAGCATATCTGCCACACAATTGTAAATTCCCCAAGGCAGGGACTTTACTAATTTTATTCAAAGGACTGTTTCCCCAGGCCCTAACACTGTAACTGGTATATAGGAGAAATAAAGCTTAATGAATGCACCTCATTCAAATCCAAATTCTGCTAACTTTAAGGCTTATCAATAATTACTTTTTAAGTTCTATTTTTATTTGTATCTATGAGTGTGGCTACTTGTCTGTATGTGTACTACACGCACACAGGTGTCCACAAAGGCCAGAAAGGCCATCAAACTCCCTGGAACTCTTACAGACAGTTGGAAGCTACCTGATGTTGATGTTGGGAAAACAAACCGTGGTCCTCTGCAAGGGTACAAGTACTTTTACCACTGAGCCCTCTCTCCAGGCCCCCAATAATTATCTTGATGTACCATTCTGCACAGATGGCAAACTGTCCATTCTTACATGTGTACCTTGACCTCGTGCTCACAGTGCTCACAACATCATGGTTTAACAGACTACAGGAGAGCCTTAATGAAACAGAAACGATGTGGAATCTACCATTACCTTCCTTCAAATCTCAATGCTTTTGGCCTGAAGTCCTAGACCCCTTATACCCACGCTGGCCTGGAACTCATGGAGATCCTCCTGCCTCTCCCTCCAAGAGCTTGGATTAAAGGTGTGTGTCACCATGCCCGGCCACAAGACTTTCATCTAAGGCTTAATGTCAAACAGTTGAAAAGACTAAAACAACTAGAAAAAAGCAAATAAATCACTTTAAAATGCTAACTAGATTACAATGGAAATGTTCTATATCTGTCAGTTGCAAGTGCCTACACATCAGAAATACAGTTATTCGTTCAGCTAAACAATGAATTTTAGTTGGGCATGGCAGACCATGCCTTTATTTACAGCACTAGGAAGGGCTACTGTTTAGTTCCAGACCAGCTTGGGCTACACAGTGAGACCCTGTCTCAAAATATCGAGGTATCTTTTTTAGCCAATTAAAATTTAAGTATCTTTATGTAGGTAGTAGTAGGGTCCTAACTAGAACATAGCAAACCTCGATGAGGAAGGAATGACATCAGTTTCCTCAAAGGAAACAAACTACATATAGCTAAGTGAATGTTGAGCAGGCTGATGCTCAGTATAGCATGCTGAAGGGGGGGCTTTGGGTTCCCAGCAGGAACATTTGGTACAAATAGGGAATTTTGATTTAGAAACTAGTTCTAAGAATCTACAAAATAAACTACCTAAAATGGTGTTCTTTCAAGTAGACACTGTAGCTAAACTATCGCTACAACTAAGACTTAATAAAGACAATGAACTTGTAACTTCAACACAAATTATTTTAGGGTCTGGGAATGCCTAACATCATCACCAGTGGTCTCCCAGAGCTGACAGTGAGAGAGGGGTTCAGAGCCACAGAGCTCTGTTCTAATTGCTTACCACAAGAAGAACATTAGCTCCTCTTTCCTGGACTCCTTGGTCTCAAAGCTTGCATCATACAAAGCATAGCGACAATCTTTCTCAGGCAGCATTCCCACAAAATGCTTGAAAGGATCAGTTATGGTAACACCAACATCTCCAACCAAAATCTCTTTGCCTTCTTCAACAACTATGCACTTTTTGTCTGCACTGAGACAAAAAATGACAGCCTTCTTTCTTTTCTTGATTTCTTCTGGTGTGGAACATTTCCGAACTTTCATGTCATAGAAAATGCGACATACTTCATCAGCAACCTGAACTCCTGAGGCCTAGAATGAGAATAGAGATGTGCAAAACGCTTAGAACAATTATAAGTTCAAATATAAAACATATATATATATATATATATATATATATATATATATATATATATATAATCTTAAGAGTATGACCATTATTGACTTCAGACTTACACATACTGCATAAGCCATTTTCACCACTACATGGGCTAAGGGGACATCTGACTGTAGTGGTCTCTGCTGTCCTAAAATGTCAGATGGGCTTCTTCATCAGCTGAATGTAGTCATCACCACCAACTCCCAAATCTGTCTCTTGGACAGAGGGTCTCATGGACCCCAGGCTAGCATTAAGGTCTCTATGCAGCCAAGTATGACTATAAACTTCTCACCTTTCAGTTTCTGTGATTACAGGTGTCTGACATTGTCTGGCTAACGCTATGCTGGGGACTGGATAAAGGCTTCATGCGTGCATCCTGACTGAGCTACATGCAGACCCTGAATTGTTTTTCTTACAGGTTTCTTAGAACCTTAACTAAGATTGCTTTCCTAGCTTGTATATTAATAATACCTGAAAAAATCTTTTACATGAAGCAAAAAGGATGTTTGGTTTCAACTTCTTGGCTGAAAAAACCTCCAGTCCTATAAATCTCACACACACACACACACACACACACACACACACACACACACACACACACACACACACACTAATGTAAAGATTTCAAAGTTCTGGTCAATATTCAATAACATTAATTTTTCTTTCAGTTCATCATGTGGAAGGGAAAGCTTAGTCAGCGAAGTGCTTTCTGTGTAGGTCAAAAATGACCTGGGTTCTAGCCCCAACATCCACAGCAAAAGCTGGGCCTTGTAGTGTACTTGTGGTCCCAATATTGGGAGGGCAGCAACTGCAAAATATTGGGCTTAGTGACTGCCAGCCAAGACTAATCCATAAACACTAAATCTTGTCAATGACAAGATGAACAGTTTCTGAGAAACACCTGAGGTTGACCTCTGGCCTCCACTACCACCCCCACCCCCCGCCATACATGAAGGCATGCACACATGCACATATGCACACATACATGTATTTCATTGATAAAATATTTAAGTTATAAACTGGGATTAGAATAAATGTTTTCCTGTTAATGGTAAACATCAGTTTAATCTGGGATTATGCTAACCAGAAAAATAACGCTTTATTATATTATTACTCTATCAGGGAATTAAACAAGATTGTGAAGCAGTTTCTAACCTTTCTGTCTTCTGTCCATCTTCATGTGCTACAGACACTAACTCCAGCACCCACCATTCTGTACACTTCTTTAACTGTTTCAGTTCACAATAGCTTTCCTAAAGCAAGGACTACAAGCTTAAAGATGTAATAAATAATATATAAATACTGATACTCAAAATTAATGGCAAAAGTGCATGAAAAGTGAAGAAAATCCTACAGAATGGGATTTCCAATCAAGAAATCTTTACTCAGAATACATGAGGAATCTTTTTCCAGTCAGTAACAAACAAACAAAAAAAAGAATCCAGTTAAAGGGTGAGCAATGGATCTGAGCAGACATTTCTCAAAAGACCATCCCAGGATGTTACAAATGACCAATAAACACGTCGGGGGAATGCTCTCCATCAGTAGTCATTAGAGAAATGCAAATCAGAACGTATACTTACTGGGATATTTAAAAAGAAAGACTGGGCTTGGGGGAAAGCTCAGTGGGTAAAGTACTTGTCCAATATGAGGACCTGACTTCAGATCCCTAGCATCCATGCAAAAGTCAGGCAAGATGGCATGTGCCTACAACTCCAGTATTGTGGGTACCAAAGACATGCAAGATCCTGGAAGCTTGCAGACCAGCCACTCTAGCAAAACACCAAGTTCCAGGTTCAGGGAAACCCTGCCTCCAAAAATATGGCAGAGAATGACAATGACACTCAACAGCAACCTCTGTCCTACACACACACACACACACACACACACACACACACACACACACACACACACACACACGGTATCCACTAACAGACATTACTGAGTATGGACAAGCTGAATTTCATATTGCAGCAGCAAAATGACAAGCAGGTCACCTGCCTGTGTAATTCTCAAAGAGCTAAACATGGAGTTAATAGATTACCTAAAAATTCCAGTTCTTGGTATAACAACCATGCAAATGTTCACAGAACAGTTATTCAGACAAAAAAAATGGAACCCCCCCCAAAGTCCATTAAGTGAAGGGATTTTTAAATGCAGTACATCCACACAATAAAGCAAAATTAAGAAACTGACATGCTACAATATAAATGAACCTCAGAAAAAAGAAGCCGAAGAGAAAGGGCCATGTACAGCACAATTCTTTTTATATAAAATGTCCCCAAAGGAGAATCTCTATCACTAGTAGTTTCCTGGGCAAAGGGAAGAGGAAGGGACTGACTGTTAACTGGCAATTTTCTTTTGGGAGTGATGGTGCATGCCTATATCCAAGCAAGCAGTTTTGACAGCTGAGGCGGAAAGACTGCCAGCCCAAGGCCAGCCTGGGCTACATTAGTGAGACCCAGACAAAAATACAAGAGAAAAAGATGCCTGCAAGAATGTGGGGGAGTGGGGTATATTGGGAACCTAGCATTTATTATTAATCTGGCATTTCATCATCCAATTGTTAAGAAGCCCTACATACACTGCATACAGTCTATCTAATCCAATCCATATCTACTCACAATACCCTCCAATCTAGCTAACTGAGTCCACACGTTTTTCTTATAAATGCAATTATTGTAAATGAACAGCAGCACTTTCATACAGTGGCAGTCAGAAAATTAATAGTGGGGAGAAAAGAAAAACTATATAACCTTATTATACTCATGTTACATTCTTATTACACATACATACTTATATTTTTAAAATCACTTTGAAGCCTTTTACAGTTTTAGTAGTATTTTCTGATCTTTGCAAGAAATGGGAATAATGTCAAATAATATTATCAAGGAAGAACTAGAAACAGACTCCAATTCCTCTCTAGTCCATAGTAAGGCTAATACCTGAGTTTCTTTTCACCAACAACCAGGTCTTTCTTTTTAAAATACTTTTAAAAATTTCTCATTCATGTCATGTCTCGATCAATCCACCCCCACTGCCTCCCTCTAACCCTCCCTCCCTCCCCCCCCCTCCTGAAAGTGTTCCCCTCCCTGCCTGACATGCTCTCATTTACTAGTTTCTTTTAATACCCAGAGTCCAATTGGGTATTAAACCAACTGGGGTGCATTAGGCCTGAACAGACGGCCTTTGTGTTAGGGAAGCATAGTGCCTTTGCTCATCCAGTGTTAGAGCCCGTGAGTCACCCTGTGTCTCAGGACAACAGAGCCACTGAGGTGGTCCAGACTGCCGGGTGAACTCTTGTTTCAAACCCTGTGTGGTTTGCCCAATTCTCAGAGGACAACGCGGGAAGCTTTGTATTTATTCAATCAGTATCTGAAACAAGACTTGAAAGTGCTTAGAAATCAATTGTGTACTATAACTGAAAAAGCAAGCACGATTCTGCAGTCACGGTGTTGCTGGCTCCAACTCTGGCAGCTGGAGCCTTTTCTATCACACACGTCGCCGTGCTGGTTTTAAGTCACAATATGTGGGGTATCAGAATACGATGGGTAGAGCCTAAAAATGTACATTCATTAGATCCAGGTGACTACTGCTAACATTTAGCCCTAAAATTTGATGAAATATGACTAATGCTTAGTTCACTGCTGTACTTTATCCCTTCACCTGTAAGTTGTGATGAAAGACTAGAGTCCGGTGGCCTAAATACAAGGATCTGTGCCACAGACACCTGGAGCAGTCAGTCTGTGGGCCCCTTCACAGATTCTTAAGCCAAACACACAGGGTCACAGAAGAAGCTGACTGCATTGAAACAGAGCTCATTCACCCGGCAGTCTGGACCACCTCAGTGGCTCTGTTGTCCTGAGACACAGGATGACTCACGGGTTCTAACACTGGATGAGCAGAGGCACTATGCTTCCCTAACACAAAGGCCGTCTGTTCAGGCCTACTCACCTCAGCCTGAGGACTCTCCTCTCAGAAGTATCGCCAGGCAGAACCTGTCTGGTTCCTTCAAGAGAAATTGTGAGAGGAAAAGACCTCTCCTATCAGTTTCACTTTTCAGTACTCAATTAACTGCTCAGGAGTCAAGAGCCTATAGATTTATTTTAAAGACAATTATATCAAATTCCACTTTAGATTTAAAGTTTGCATAGTTGAAACAATACAGACCACCGAAAAGCCTCTGAACCAGGGAACACTATGTTGCTGCAGAGCTGAGAGCAAAAATAGATTGCTTCCACAAGCTCTGATTACCTTAAAAAGCTATGGAATTCACAGCAGAAATTTCTGTGTTCTGTACCAGGACCCACTGGAGAGTACAAACTCACACTACACCCTGCGTCAAAAGAGCTGCTGCTGATCTAGCTTCAAGCATAGTTGCTTGTCTTGAGTCTCTTCTGGTGGTGATTTATAAAACTCACCAACTTGGGGGCTGAAGATAGCTCAGCAGTTAAGAGCACTGGCTGCTCTTGCAGAGGTCCTGAGTTCAATTCCCAGCAACCACATGGTGACTCACAACCATCTATAGTGGGATCTGATGTTCTTTTCTGGTATAAAAGTCGTACAGGCAGACAGAGGACTCATATACATAAATAAATCTTAAAAAAAGAACAACAACTGATATTAAATAAATACTAACGGTTCATGAAGTACATGGTCAAACACAAATTATACTACAGAGAATACAACGCTGGGTATAATCTTGGAAATGGCAGAATTAAGCTGGAAGAGCAAGTCTCTCAATTCTACCATAAGGATGAATGGAAATCTTTGAAACTTAAGACATCAAATTTTGAGGTTTTAATTTCTATCAACCACTGAACCAGTCCAAACCTAAATGTGATGATCACTAACAGCAGGCCATCCTAAATGAAAACATCAGAAAGGGGTTCATTTCTCACTGCTGTGCTCAAGTAGGACACCTCACCTTGGC